CCAGCCATGCTTTCAATAGTGTTGATGCAAATGCGCAAATCTGCCCACTTGTAATGCACAAATGCATTGAAACTAAAAAATACATATGCTTTCCTAAAAAACAACGTCTGATTGTCAAAATACTTCAGACCTTTACCAATGATAATAGTAATTGACGGGTTTGACAACATCCGTGCATTTGACTTATTTGACAGCTTTCCCATTACCTGAATGGGAAACTTCTGGATTCGTATTATACTGTTATTTGCTATCAAAACCTTTTTTCGGCTGCAAAATTGCTCTGGGATCGCACTATAAATCATGCCATTTGGATTGCACTGTTTGCTCAGGTACCATAAATTTTATTGACATATAAGCAAAATGAATTGGTGAAATGAGCTTGTCAGCATTGTGTGAATATCTATTCTGAATACCACTGATGTGGTCTGCTGAATCTCATGCATTATTCACGGGTTGTGCATAAGTCAGGCATCAAAAGCGTGAAACTGACTCCGCTTTTAATTCACAATTGCCAAAAGAATGTATGGAGCATTGGTGGATACATTAATTGGCTGGGTGCTGAGGAAATGAAGATTTCAAGCCAGTTGTGAAAGTTTATACTTCCTACAGTCATCCCATAATTCTTAACTACTTGTTTGCAGTTGTGTCACGAAATAATGCCCTCTATTCCACACATTCACTTTACGTCTATTGGATTTACACAAGTCAAAATGTTCATCAAATCGTTTTGTACATTTTATCTTGGTTAACACCTAGCAAAATATGATCATCGCTCCTCTGCTCCGGTCCAGCATCGGTATTTAATAATATACGCTGATACTGGTGACCTTTCCACACAGATTACGCAAAGGTGGGGTCAGAGCACGAATCTTGAAGAAAACATATCAGTACTAATATCACATGTGGCATCAAGTAAAAGATTCCATAAACGGTGGATAGGCTTTTGAATTAATTTGATTGCCTGCAGTGATATTCAAATCTAACATTAACATAGACGCTCAATATCAAAACAAAACGGATGTTCCATCAACTTTACTAAGTTGTGTGCGCTAAAGGTAACAGCCAACTTTGCTGCTTGAGAACCATTATTCCCCAAATATTGCCGACTTTCAGATCACAAGGTAATCTTCCTAGAGTTAAGTACACATCTCCAAATTCACTTCCTTGTCTGCTCTCTTACCGAATGTTGCAGGACAGCAGCCGCAGGAGCACTATTGAAAGGAATCACTGGCGGGCATCCATTTGATAAAGTTGAGAAGTCAGTTGGCATCGAGAAGGTGGTGGAATACCGCCCCAATTATTGTTCACGACTGCCGGAGTTGACCGCGAGTAAGAAAGCACACTAAAAAATACAATGAGCCGTGCTGAGATGGGGATGTCACTCTCTCTATCCGTCTATTTTATTAAAGAATGTGTTGGTGGTGGTGGGGGTGGTGGCGACGGTGACAGTACACAGACTGAGGATGCGGCAACACACAATACTGAGGCACTGGTTTGTCTACTGAGGCTTTCACTGAGTATGTGCAACTGGAACACTAGGATTTAAGTCTTCGTCTAACCCACGTAAGTACGAAGTTACAGTTTATGCATCAGCTAGCATTCCACTTTTTAATATACTTACGGGTGATAAAACAAGGGTGTGAACCAATAAGTTCTTTTTAAACAAGGAAGTAGCATTGTATAATGTCTCAGTGTATGCTATTCGACTAAAGAAAGGATTAGGCAAGATTTCAACACCTCATGGAAATACATGGGAAGGATAACATGACCAACACAACAAGACTAACCTCTATTAGGAAGAGACTTGGTACTGCTATATAGGCTGATCCAGCTCCCTGGAGTACACCGCAAGTCCCATCATCCACAGGGAAATGCACACTCCGTGTGATGAAAATCATCTCATCAACAAAGTACTCCGGCTGCAATGCACAAATCCATCCTCAAATAATCACCCTGCATTACATTGAAATGTGGCCCTCCAAAGGTACACTACCTCTCGGATAAGAAGGTATGGTATGTGCACTAACTAAAGTGACACGTGCAGACCGTCCATAAGGGTAGCATTTGTGGCAGTGCTTTAAAAGACGAAGGGGTTATGCAATACATGTTTGCTTAAATGCACCTTTTAAACAAGCAGCGAACAGTAAATTCAGATTTCGTTTCGAAGCGGACATTGTCTACCTTCAAGAAGGGTGTGAACTCTGAACAGACACAATAATGATCACTGTGCCCAATTTGTAATGACACTAATTAAGAACACCACCGTTAAATCAATCTACTCTGCCCGTCTTTTATATTGAAAGAATTTGTTGGTGGTAATGGCGACAGCGGCAGTGTGCAGATTAGGGTTGTGTTATACACATACACACCTTGCCACAAAATTTGGCACACCCACGAACCCGCACATTGATCGGTTGACCCACCGAGTGAATGAATGAACGAAGGGTAGAGCTATCGTCTGTGATAGCAGCCGTATTGCATAATGGCAGTCACTGCCACCACATCAACAACACTCACTTGTGATTGCATTTCAGTGGATGACACTGCCCATCAAGCTGCTGCTGCTGCTGCATAACTTGTCATCCCTGCCGGCGGCTACTTGCTCCCACGTCACCATATGATGCAGATGAGTGAGCGATGTAATGGCGCTGTCAACAGATATGCACGCGCATTTTGCCCTTGTGGCTTTGTTTGTTCAGTGAGGGAAGGGCAGGGAAGGCAAAGCAGGCGCAGCAGGGTCAAGACGGTAGGAAATTAAGGGCCAGAGAAAGGAGGGTGGACATGGATGCAATTAAGTGGCTGGGGACAGGGGAACATCTTGTAAGCTGCTCTTGAGACAGTTATGCATACCTCAATAATAGCGTTGCCTACTTCACAACTGTTGAGCTCGAATGCAAGATGACCACCGAACCTCTATCCATTCATGCGATTGGCCTGCATCGGTTGACCACTCATGCAATGTATTTCAAGGCCAACTCGTGGGTACACTCATGCTACTGTCGTTGTTCGGTCTGTGGATAGGCTTGCGTGCGCGCCTGTGGCGTAACATCACTTCTACTGTCTCCGCGCTTTCAGCCACAATTTCGATATCTTCATCGATGGAAAATGGCTTTGCTATCCTAGCTCTTCTACACTCTCGCTCTTCCAGCTCAACGACTCCAGCTTGAGGGTGTACACTTCTGCAACCTTCACGTGTTTTGTAGCTGTAGTCCCCAATTTTCTCCCTAAAGAATACGAATGATAGGATAAGACGATAACTGAGGTTAGGGGTAGGGATCACTCTGAATATTCTGCTAATAGACTTGCATTTGACTGCATCGTTATCGCCTGAGTGACGAGGAGTGAGAGTGACTGGCTGGATAGTGTTTCAGTCTGTGGCCTACATTCACTGGTGTGTGGCTCAGTCCTGCGTGTGGTCGATGTGAGATGAGGGTTAGGATCCAAAACCGTTGGAGAGGTAAGCATTGGCAGTGGTGGACTGATTCAGAGAATCCAATCGAGTGCCAGCAGATTGCACAAATCAAACTGCGATTTCTGGGATCGTAGCCATTAATCCCCATCACAATCTCCTAATATATATAGACCATCTCCCACAAGAGTCTGACAGTCGCCAAAAAGGCATAGGCATTGAGTTCATTTAAAGATCAAGAAGTCAAAACACACACACATGCATACACATTTGTGCAGAGCCCGAGAAGGAATGCAAGGGTCACAGAGAATATAAAGTGTCCCTTGGGGAAACGAGGCAAAGTCGAACCGAGGTGGTGGGTTCTCTCTCCACTCACCATCTCGTCTACTGTAATCTGACTACCACGTTCCAAGAGCGCAGTTTCGGTGTTGATTGCCGAGCAGGATAAAAGAAAGGGAACAGAATAAGAATAAATACAGCCATGTAAGCCGAGTGGATGGAACAGATAGATAGACGGATTGGGGAGAAAGTAAGAAACAGCACTCGCACCGGGCCGTCACTTCCTGCACTGAGGCAGCCATCTGACTGTACCAACAACAGAATAGGAAGCTGCAATTAGAGGTGTTTGCTGTGACCTCGGGATGAGGAAAGGGTGTAAACAAGTATTTTCTCTCAATGGTTCTGTGTAGACGTGGTGTAACGTAGGGGATGCAGATAATGATTTAAAGTTCCCACCACAGAGAAGACCAGAGCATTCGTCTAGCAAATGGTCAAGAGGTCAGCAAGAAACACTTAAACAAGACGAAAGAGAAAAGAGACGATGAAAGGTGAGACAAAATTGCCAGATTTTGGTTGAGTAGTGTGCCAAAATGATTCACACTGTGGGGATCCACTGATGTGCATTCACCTAGACAAATTAGGAAAAAAGACCAACTAAAGAAGATTCTAGGTTAGCAAGTAGGTGGAAGAGCTAGACACCAGTCAAATGCATTTTTACGTTATCAACACCTGCAAAATATGAGTAAATGAAAGCTATTACTAGTGGTTCCTATATTTAACAGAGCCGCTATTTGACTTCCACAGCTTTCCGCAGTTTCATAGGTTCAGTATATCGCACTCGTTTCGGTCTGCTGGTCACGAGGACCAGCACACCGCGCATTACTATAATTCTACCAGAGACTTAGCACTTTCAGTAAAAGGTTAAGATGGATTTAGAGGTTTGCCTTTATAAAAATTACGAAGAATGGAGCGAGGCCAGCATTGACAAAGGGCTGACCCCGAGAGGTCAAAATAAAGTTAACCAATTACTTCCATTACAAAGCCACAAACAAAACACTAGGACTTTTGACCAATCCCTCCTGAGTTAAATGGAAAGGAGGTGACCTTCATAAATTCAGCAAAGGTTAAGTACTACTGAGTAGACACTGATAGCCAGTAATGGTGTTTTCCCAGGGAAAACAAACTAGGCAACAAATCATCAATGAATGACAATGTGTGAGAAAGAGGGAAAGGAAGAGAGACGGACTTGGAGGCCTGCCTTCACGTGAATATTCCATCTGCTGTCAATCAGGCTAAACACAGACTAATTGAGCTTTCAACTTCACAGATATCAGGAGGAGATAATGGGCTATACCGAGGTCAGGAGGACAATACAAGAAGGACAACGAATAGAAAGGAGATCAAACCACTGTTTTGTGACTTTCTGACCTCCGCCTGAACCATCCCTACTTTTTTAAAAGTTGAAGACGGATCCAAGGGTAATAAATTTACTTTACAGGGAGCATGCTTTGATTTGGTCACTTCAAGAAGAGCTGACTACTGCTGCATCAACACTTCCATCTTTATTTCGTATGTCAACCATGATAAAGGGAGCACAAATGCTTCGTACATTAAGGAAACCAACTTTTCAATGACTTTGACCCTCTGCACACAAAACGTTCACCGGTGAGCCCATTGGGAAGACACAGATGCCCTAGCGACTCTTTCAGCTTTGTTGACAGGCCCAATGCTAATTCAGCGTTTCAGTTAGCGAGATCTGCAAGTGGAGTACACCCATTGGTGTCTCCAATGGGCGTACCCAACCGAATGGAAATCGACCAGATGTGCCGTATTTCTACAGGTCATCTATGACATATCGTCCCCATCAGATTTAAAAAAAAATTAACGTCTGCGAAATTCAAAGATGCCTGACCAATGAAGATGCCATGGACGCACTCGTTCTAACCTTTACTCGCAAATGCATCAACCACACAAGCAATCTTAATTTGAGCTATCTCAAAACACGCGACTAATGTAAGTTCACGCAACTTTCACAACAAAGGACAAGAAGGAACCGCGAAAAGGCTCTTCAAAGGTCCATTGGTCGGTGACGTAATCAACAATGTAATTCGCAATCCATGCCCTTCTCAATAATATGTAAGCATGGTATGAGGCCCAGTTTTGCCTTCAGAAGAACATAACACAGCACCTAGTCACCACGTCTCCTCCCTCACTATGATCATTGAACCTCCCACTCTATTACATTACTCAGGCAATTGCCAGGCATAAAAAAATGGTTTTAATCGGTTACAACTTTAGGAAACATTATAAAACAATTAATGATAAAGAACGAGGGACAGGACATGCATTAAGCGCGTTATGACGACCCCTCAAGAGCAATTATCACAAAGATGACGAACAGGGTCCTCCGTGGACTTTTAAGCATAACACATCATTTGGACTGATTGACTAGACCTTACAATGTTAAAAATGCTCCTCGAGTCAAGCTTTTCACAGTTTGTTCTCTCAGTCAGTCAACCAGTCATCAAACCACTACACGCACAACAATTCATTGCGCACACAAGGGAAGTGAAAAGAAAAACAAATTCATGGTCAGCCAAACCGACTTCCCACCACCTATTGACCAGTGGCATCTGGCAGGCACTCGTGCCCACCCTCCACCACCATCACCACTCCTCCTTCAAAGGTAACGTAGGAGTGAACCATGTGCTGCATCATCACTCACACTAGACATAGCTATTGGTTACCCATGACACAATGATCTTCAGTGGTCTTGACCAAAAGGGACATGCAGTTCTTTGTTAGTCAAAACAGAGGGTCTACCTAAAGTGATGTCAATCCAGTGACTAAACATCAACACAAACTGTTCAAACCATTCGCAAATTTAGATTTGCAAGAATAAAAGCTCGTCTTGCTAAAACCAATATTATTTTTATATTTTGGAGAGAGCTTGTGATGCCTAATTGTAACATTAAAAAAATTTCATGCAAAGTTCTTGTTTGCGGTTTTTTTAAAACAGCGAGATTGAGTCTT